ACGTTAATTTTTGTGCAGATTTGCTATACTTTGAACATAAATGGCTCCCACAGGTTCATGTACTGAGTACTTTGTTTCTGTTTTGGGAGGTGTGTAGGGAGACACCCTAGCCCCGCCCAATAGTCCTGGGACAGGTACCAGGTAGACCCCGGACTCGCCCATAAGGGCATGGTGAAGGAAAGCCGGGGTGATGCAAGGGAAGCTTCTTAAAGGCTGCACGTGGAGCTTCTTTCTGGCTGCGCTAGCTGGGTTCCTGAGACCTCGCTCTGGCCTGCCTTTTGCCCTGGTGCTTTCTTGAATAAAGAAATCTTACCATCACAGATTAATTCATCCCTGAGCGCACGCTGCACACAATAATCTTCAGAGGTGGTGGATTATTCTGGATGGGGAGCCTAGTTTGAGGAGATAGGTCCCTGTCCCCTTTCTGTCTGACGTGAAGTGATAGCCCTTCTCCACCACAGACTTCTGCAAGCAGCCAAGTTATAGTCCTATGGACATTTATTAATTATCCTATTTTGTGGCTCTTGTCAAAGTTCCACTTTGATAGAGGTAACTTTTTAGAAGGGATACATTTTGAAGGATATGTCCCCAACAACAAAACTAGGCCAACTGAAAGTCACTTATTACTGCTTAATTCTGGAGGTTTGAGCACAATGTCAAGCCATGCAATAAATATGGCTCCAGCTTAGAACTACTCTAACACAACACCGCAATATGAGTATAGATGCCACATGCCTTTATTCTTTGATTTCTTTTTGACTGCTACTGTCATTATAAAACACATCATTGTATGTCCATAGGTTTTGGGTACTACATATGCTCTCTATTTTTTCCTCTATAAAACAGAACCAAGAATAAAAAGGAAACATTCTTCTTTTGGGAACAATGAACACATTTTTATTTCATTTGTGAAGCCCCTTGGGCTTGGGATGCAGCTCAGCAATAAGCATTTACCTAGCATACACCAGGCCCCGGGTTTATCCCCTTCACTATGACAAATACACAGGTTAATGAATTAAAATCTATCTCCCTTTCTGCTTATACATCAGTGAAATCAAGCTATTTTGGGAATCGCACATGCCCT